AGTAGACAGTCACCGTTATATAAAATGAGACCAACAAGTTCCCATCAGTCGCCTAAATTACCGACATATGTATTCAGGTCTCCGGCTAATACTACAATAACTGTCGTTCGCACTTTCTGTAGAACTGTTAATTGGTGACCAAACTCATCCTTCATCGCATCCGGGCTGTGATCTGTTGGAGATGACGAAAAGACATCGTTTCTCGCACCGATTTCTTAGAACTTTGGTGGAGCTCTCGATTCTAACTGCACGTAACCGACTGTCAATGAGGATCCGAACGATCAGTGATGTCCCAGATCCAGAATGTGGTGCAACACCAACAAAACCAGACGAAGATATGACAGGGTCCTCCGATAAACGCACGTAAAACAAGCTTTTCTAAACGACAGATGGAGAGCGAATTTGTAATACTTCACGGATCTTGAATATAGGTCTCGGATAGACAGCAGACGTCGATACTAAGACTTTGTAAAGACAAGGCTCGAGGTGTGGCCCCCTAAGAAAACCACGCGCTTCGGTCTGGGCACCCGGGCAGTATCACAGCCCACACACAATTAATGAACTGAACTGTCTATGATCATGGAAACTAATTCTCTTGCTTCGACGAACATTCAAATGATTCAATTATTATTATTGCTATTGCTATTATTATTATTATTGCTATTGCTATTATTATTATTATTATTATTATTATTATTATTATTATTATTATTATTATTATTTACTACGTCATTATTCACCCTCCTTTATTCCTACTCTGTCTATACTTATTTTTCTTGACTTATACAGCAGCTCGTCTATGGTGAAAATTCGACTTTATCTAAACGTTCTCGAGTCACTGTGCGGTTGAAAATTGTGTGTTACCACTGAATATGAGTACTGAAGCAGTTTTTCTGAAACCACGTGCACCATTCAAACTGGCTGCCTTCAACGTTCGCACATTTATGCAGGTCGGACAACAGATAGGGCTGGCTATTTCTTTGGAAACTCTTAATATTGATGTTTGCTGTCTATCTGAGACCCGTATTCAGGACTGATGAAGTACTACAAATTCGCCCTCCATCTGTCACTTCAAAAAGCTTGTTTCACGTGCGCTTATCCGGGGACCCTGTGGCATCTTCGTCTGGTCTTGCTGGCGTTGATGTCGCCCTAAGCGCTAGAGCTGAGGCAGCACTAATCCATTGGATCCCCATTAACAGTCGGTTATGTGCTGTTAGATTAGAAAGTTCCATCAAAGTGAGAAGAAATCGGCGTGAGAAACAATGTCTTTTCGTCATCTCCACCTATGCCCCGACAGATTGCAGCCCGGATGCAATCAAGGATGAGTTTTACCACCATCGCGATCAGCTACCGCTGGCGTGGTTGTGTACAAAACTGCCGCTGCTTTTGGAGTACCTATCTGGACTCTGATAATACCTTGGTCTGCGCCAATCTTGCCTTACTTTTCAGTGGTCAACGAAGTGACCGCCACCAACGGATTGATGTTAACAAGTTGGTTGCAACTTCTGTTGCAATTAAATATCAAACCGAGCTAGTTTCTAGGCTAGCTACCATTTCACCGAAAAGTATAGATGAGCATTGGTTGCAATTGCATGACGCCATGAAAATGGCGGGAACAGTCAGTTGTGGGTTTGCGAAACGTCCCGCTTATAAGTAATGGGTTTCCTCTGATTCCTTGCAACTCATTGAAGCCCGTCGGTCCACTCCAGGTGACCGTGAGTTTGACCATAAACGAAAGTTGTTACGTAAGTAAATTGAGCAAAGCCTGCCTAAGGACCGAGAAGCCTGGTGGTCGAAGCGTGCTAATGAGCTGGAAGCAGCAGCTGCATCTGGTAATTACCGGAAGCTCTTCCAACTCATCTGAGCCACTGGCAGCAAGAAGTCTGGTGTGAGTGAAACAATCTACGAGGATGACGGAACGCCAATCACTAACATCCATCGAAGTCTTGGACGGTGGGCAGAATTTTTCGAAGGGCAGTTCAACTGGCCTGCTGCTCCGGCAACATCGGTCAGACTGTACTACCCTACATGGCCGGTGACGACTGATCCACCAAACGAGGAGGAAGTCCGCAAGGAACTCCAACTCTTGAAGCGTTACAAATCACCTGGCCCAGATGACTTACCTCCGGCTCTTTTTAAAGATGGTGGTGTATTTTTGACTAAGGAATTGACGACGTTGTTTACAAAGGTGTGGGAGCTGGAGAATGTACCAACGTCATGGAATGAGTCGATAGTTGTCCCTATCTTTAAAAAGGGTTCACGTCGTTCCTGTAACAACTATCGAGGGATAAGTCTAATTCCGATTGCGTCCAAGCTATTGGCTTCCGTCATACTTCGTAGGTTGTTCAAAACTCGAGAAAGATTGACTCGCGAGGAGCAGGTTGAGTTTCGTTCTGGTCGAGAATGTATTGATCATATCTTCACCCTCCGCCAAATGTTAGAACACCGCCATACTTATCAAAGGCCAACAATCGTAGTGTTTCTTGACATCAGGGCTGCCTTCGATTCGTTGGATAGGACTGTTCTCTGGGATTGTCTATTGAAGATGGGTGTGCCTGAGAAGTTTATTAACATCCTAAAAGCCCTATATACAAACACCTCAGGCAGAGTGAGGGCATACAACCACCTCTCTCCATTGTTCCATTCGAGCAGTGGGGTTAGGCAGGGTTGCCCAATCTCACCATTCCTCTTCAACTTTGCCATCGATGACATTCTGGAAACAGCTCTGATGAATGTAAGTAATGGTGGTGTGGATCTGTTGCCTGGAGAAAGACTTCTCGACCTTGAGTATGCGGATGATATTGTCTTACTGTGCGATAATGCCCAAGGCATGCAATCCGCACTTAATCAGTTGGCAATCAGTGTCCGTAGGTATGGTATGTGCTTTGCACCTTCCAATTGCAAAGTACTCCTACAAGACTGGTAGGATTCCAATCCTGTACTCACCCTGGATGGTGAGCAGATAGACGTAGTCGAGAAGTTCGTGTATCTAGGTAGCTGCATAAGTGCTGGTGGGGATGTGAGTGATGAGATCAATGCACGTATAGTGAAAGCCAGAGCGGCTTATGCCAATCTGGGCCATCTTTGGCGCCTTCATGATGTTAGTCTGGCTGTAAAAGGTTGGATCTACAACGCGTCGGTGAGAGCAGTCTTGCTCTATGCTTGTGAAACCTGGCCTCTCCGAGTTGAGGGTGTTAGACGACTCTCTGTGTTCGATCATCGTTGTCTCCGAAGGATTGCTGACATCCAGTGGCAACATCATGTTAGTAATGCAGGGGTTCAGCATCGTGTGTTCGAGCGCAGAGACGATAATGCAATTGGTGTCACCATCTTGAAACATCGACTTTGGTGGCTTGGACGTGTTCTACGAATGTCGTCTCAGGGAATTCCACGTCGTGCATTATTTGCCAACTCTGGGGCTGGTTGCAAAAAGCGGAGAGGTGGTCAGTGTATGACATCGTGTCGGGGTATGAAAGAAAGCTGCGATGGGCTGGCTTGTGTTGGTCCTTCACGACTCCCTGACTGGGGTCCGAGAGATGGTACGACAATGGCTAGAGACGTTATCAGATATGGCTCAGAATAGAAGCCAGTGGCGATCTTGCTGTTACCTTCTTTTACTTTCTTCATAAAACGTGGCTGTATCTTCCTTAACTGAAAGATTTCTTCTGATTGTACCTTACCGTTCGCCAATTGTGATTATGATTATTACTACACTCCCTTACACCAATCTCTTCATTATTGTTTTCGAAAAAATTTTTTTAACGTTCATCATTTTTTTTCCTAAATTCTTATTGTTTTGTGTGGCGCATATATATATGGCGCACTCCTGTACCAATATATAAATGTGTTCAAATAAATAAATAACCAGTCCGTATGGATTACATGGTTTCAGAATTCGTGTTCGATGGTAGCACTCAACTTCCGACCAGTCAGTGACTTGAAATCTTTTAGACAAAATGGGGTTTCCACCATAGGTGAGCTGCTGTATAAGTTGAAAAATAAAATGTGCAAAGTGAGAATAAAGGGAAGTACATAAGTGATACGGCATAGAAGAAATGAAAACGAACTTTACCAAGCGATTATCTGACTGAGACTTGAAGCAAGAATGACTTCTCAACTAGTAACTATGATTTTGTTTATGAGAGCTGCGATATAACCCAGGTGCCCAGACCGAAGTGGGTTGTTTTCTTGGGCCACATCCCGATCATATAACCAAAGGTCTAATCCACAAAACAGTGGGTCAACGTTGAGATGCAACTCCACGTTAGCGAGTGACAAACAAAAGACTCCAATAGGATCCTCCAGCCCATGTGCGGCATTGGTCTGGAATCAGAGTTTTTCAACTCCCACAGGTGGACCCTCTGTGTCCACCAACCCGATTAAAACGCAGAACATTCGCTATTTGTCCTCTAAATAAAGTTAACACACCCGCCACATAAAGGCAGCGAGTGGGAATTCTCCAGCAGTGAATTTATACTCAAGAACACGTGAAGGCATTTGGGTTGCAAGGAGAAATAATGGGGCGAACTGCATGCATATAGCATAAGTCTCTTTGAACCCAGCACACAACAACGGCGTCATGCACTGTCCCATCGCCCTTGGTAGCAGTAGAAGCACCTACTGTCAGTCCAATCAACTTAGAGAATAAGCCGTTCGCGGCGTGTAAGGGTGACCGAATTTAATAACCAAATATTAAGTTCGGGAGTAGATACGGTTTACGTTTCATTAATTGTAATTAAACTAACCCGGTTGGTAGAGAAATCACAGCAACGCACTAATATATTCTCTGATGATAAAAAAAAGAAAGATCTATGATGTAGGTAAAATTGGTTAAAAAACAACTTAAACACATTTACAAACGGCCGACCAAAGTAAGTAAAAAAGGTTCAAATTTTGAGGACTATATATAAACGGAGCAGAACGTCCATTAGAATTAATCTACACAATTCAGGTAATGTACAATAATTCAAGATAATACGTCAAATTGTAAGAAATCCAATTTATTTTTTAACAAGTGAGGATGGAAATTTCAGAAGTGATCTTCTTTTAGGTTCAGAGGGGATCCCATAAACAATGACTGATTTTCCAACAAGATGCTTCAGTTTACAAGCCGAAGTTGCGTTAAAAATAGACTGTCCTAAAGTTCCATGTGGTTTTGCATCACGTCCGTCATCAGAACCATCTTTTCCCAGCCAACTAGTCAGGAATTTTAAAGTAAATCTATCAACGTCCCGATCAGTAACATCCCATAACAATCCGCAAACAAAGGGACTATAAGAGAAATAAAAAACGTAGATTTACTTGTTATAAAGATGATAAGATATCATTAAAATATGGTGGATATACCGTTATGGTAATAAAAAGCTTTTTAGAAATAAAACAAACTCATAAGGCTGAATATATTGAGCTGGAGAAAAGTGATCTACTATTCTACCCACAAAGGCAGTACAAAGGTTACACTTGAGTACTACTCACTCATTCAATGGTAGATGAAATAGTTTACATAGAATAAAATGGCAAGCTAGTCTAACTAATTACATGTATAATACAAAATACGATTCACATACCATCCAGCAATAAGATGATTAAATAGTGAAGTATAAGGTTCATGTCGTCCAGCACTACGAGGTTTACCGGAACTACAGCCAAGAATCAAGGTAACGGAGCGTGCATTGAGACCTTGATTGAAAGTGTGTAGTAGAAATTGTGAACCATTCCCATGACCCAAAAATCTGTAAGTAAAACGAATGCACGTAAGTAATTAGACAGCTGCTGAGAAATATATTGATAAAGGATAACAAAACAGATTATTGACTAATAATAACAAAACGATAAGCAGAATATTTAAGTGTCGACAAGCCTACGAAAACAAAAGTTTTACTTGTTTAACGAGAATAATTAAAATATACATCCTTTTCATGGAAAGAAAATAAGTTTAATGAAAGCACTTTCAAACGTACATTAGAAGATCATGATTTGTGAAACCATTGTTCACCTCCTCTAAAGTTGGAATTCTTCCAGTGACACCTGTCCAACTGGATAGGTTGTGGAATATCGGTTCAAAGGTTTGTTGAGTAGAGGGTAGATTGGATTCTGGGTTAAGGATATAAAATGCACGCTCAGGATTAAAAGAACATAATTTCATATGTTCAGCATTGGGAGAAATGTTAGCCTCAATATTCTGACAAGGCATATACTGAGTTGCCAAGTGACCAACAACTAAAGGTAAGCTGAAGCTACGAGTCATTGTTGGAGTACATGAAGTTGGATTACGATCCCATAGTATCCATTCCCAAGGTAAATAAACTAGTCGCTAGAGAGTGAAAAGACAAGATATAAAAAATGAGAAGGATAACATCTGGTCATCAAAAAACAAACGTTTTATAAGTTATTTGTAATAAACTAGGAAAGCATAATCTCAAAACTAAAAAAGCGACAGACGTAATCTAAACTGGTCAAAGGGGCTAGTGCGATTCAATTTGTCAAACAGGAAATTGGATCTCTGGATTCACCTTGATACTCAAAACCCAACTGAACGGAAATCTCTCTCCACTACGCGGTTTCAAACATCGGTTCATGAAGTATTAGGTACTTGATGGATTTTAATCAACATATATGATAGGATACATATTGTATTGATTGATAACTGGTGATACTAAAAACACTTAGTGTAATAACTTTCACAAGTTAGGTCGTAATTGAAATTTATTGGTATATTCTTACTACAGAGCTGATAAAAATACATGAAATGTCCCTCTTCTGAGCGAATATTAAAGTCAATATGTTTTTTGACTTTATGCAGTAATAATTGACTATGCTATACGTTGCTACAACTCTTATTGTAAGAGCAGCTAAAAAACGCTGTTTGTCAACAAATCACCAAATAGCATAAATATTATCCTTGTCGTCAAAAGCTTTCATTTTTGGATTTTGTGTGGGTATATTCTAAATCCCAATATAAAAACGGGATAATTGATAAGACTATAACCCCACGAGTTAATGTTCTTGGTCTTTTGAAAATGTAATCCCAGCTGACTTTTGGAACTTGATGCTCTGACACTGTGTTCAGTTGGACAGTAAATATTTAACCAAACCTCTGATATGAGTCATGGGCGTACGTTAGTTTTCGGAAACAAACATGTTAAATTCAAGTGTAAATAATAACTGACGCCTGTTTAGCAAACGTGATGTACAACTGAGATCGACTTTACAGAGGTTCGATTTTACAATGGATAATCATCCTAGTGTTGTTATTGTAAGAATAGTAATAAAAGGTAAACATCGTACATCCTAGTTGATTATTGGGATTACAGTTGCATGAATTTCTTTATTACTTGTCTCATTAATCCTGCGAACATCAGAAATGTGAATCAAGTGCAGTCCCAAAGTTATTCAACAAGATTACTTTCACCAGTTGCTTGGAAAGTCTTTAGATTTTTACGCAAGGTAAATGCGTCTCGTCGAAAAACTTTTTCACACTTACGAGAATTGAACCAAACAGGTGAGGACTAGAGAATAGTTTAGAAAATCTGCATATTCAAATATAACATAAAAGACTTGCAAACAGTTATTTATTCATAACAACCGAAAAGCTAATTTAATTCCCAAAGAATAAAGTAAATAGAAGTACAAAGCTAAAAATGCTACGTGCGCCTTTGCTTGTGTACGTTAGATAAGTAGACCCTAAACAGAACACTAAGTAAATATTAATGCTATTTTATTTAACTACACAAAAAATATTCCGAAAAATCAATACATAGTTGAGTGTGCTAGAAAAGCTAGTGTTAAACTTACTCGATCCGGAATAATGACTACAGAAGGAGGGTTATAATCATTTTTGAGTTCATTATTACGACAATATTTCTCTCGACTGAATAACCAATCTAGATCATCTTTAGTAAACCATTCACGACGTATTTCAGTAAGTAAATTCTACAAAATCATTTCAAAGGACTAAAAATGAATGCTGGGATAAAACTGAAATTTGTTTATGAAGAAACTAATTTGTCGGATTTTGAAAATTAAGAATTATATGGGTGAATTAAATCATACATCACCATACAAGTAATACACGTAAAGATATATGATGAAGCATGTTAAAAAGCATTATTCGAAAATAGAACGCTTGGAAAGTGAATTGACCACATAAATCTTTTGGTTTTAGCAACCTGTCGATCTATTTAGACACTAATTTTAAATTATAGATACCGAAGTACATAAGTGGAAACTTATCTGAAAAACACAAAAATTCCGAAGTATTCAAAAGACAGAAATTGTGTTCTACCATATATTAAGATAACAATCCTTGGAACATAGGTTGAAAGGATTTACATAGGTAGCTAAGTTGTGGTAAAATATAACTGATGGGAGAAATGATATTTTGAAAGTAAACATGTTAGCTATTTCAGCAAGGTTGAAATCATTTACTGTATTGAATTTGTAGAGTTTTGATAGTATACTGGCCTTGGATGTCCTGCTATTTTGACCAGTGTCAGTAAATAGAGTGGCCAAATTAAAATGTGCTTATATGCATTAAATAAATTACGATTTTAAATGAATATGAAAAGTGCTTGCATTTATGATAACAGTCCAGTTGAATTATAAAATTACGAGTAATGATAGAGGTGGTCAAACTATTACATACCACTATTCGAATCGGATCGAAATGAGAACCACTGGTCAATAGAGTGGGTAATTGGAAGTATGCTGAGATAATAACCATATTATTGATATAAAAAATATTTGATTTAAATAGCATGACTATAATTAACCAGTAAGTTAACAAACGAATAATCACAGATGAAATTCAAGGTCACAAAACGACCACTGATTAATCACCTATGTTTGTGGTAACATTAATTGTAATATCGAGAACTATTTCGTTTGCACACTCCGAAAATTGTTTTTACATTAATACAATAGGAAACATGGAAACTAGTCGGATAGTAGTATATTGCTTTTTTGCATAAGAAACATATTGCCAATGTGTTAGTTTATAAGAAAGGCACATTCTAGATAAAGCAAACTGCAATCAATGTAGTAAACCTTAAACACAATAAAGTGAAGAGGTGACTGAGTGGCAAAAGACATAAACTTCTAATTAGTAAGTGGAAACATAGAACCCCGGTCTCATGTGTTTCAGTGTGGGGGGGGAACGGGTAGTATCACTAACCTTCATACAAACAATGTGGCTCACCGTTGAGCGCACGAATCAGTATTTAGAAATGAGCTACGTTAGTTAACTTAATAGAAACGAATAATTGTACTTATATATATTCTGGTAATGAGATCAAAACTAAAATGAAAAACAATGAAAAAGAGATAACGAATTTTCTTCAACGAAGAAAATGTCAATGAAAAAGCTAAATGAATAAGGCTTAAAAAAGCTTTTGTTTTCGCACATAAAATAAGGGAAGGCACACGCAGTAAACACCATGAAAAACATGCCATACTTCTAGTCGTTCATCCAAGTTATAACGTATACGCCAGTAATTAGCACGATCTTCAATAGCCATCGAATCAAGACTCTCCGTCTGAATTTCATCAAAACTATCCATATATTTAAAACCCTTTGGAAAAGATAAACGTGAAAAGATTGATTTAGAATAAGTTTTATTTAAATTGCAGATAAGATAGTGTTATTTTAAAAAAATAATGTTCCACCTGAAGAAAGGTAACGAAAATACGTCTTCATATTCAATTTTTTAAAATGTTCTTTGGGTGAACAATTATCTTCCATTTAAGTAACTTTTTACCTTTTTATTTCTCATTACTTCACATTATTTAATCTTGATACATATAAACACTTTCCACCAACTTTTAAACAATGGAGTATCCACTTGTTTTATCATACGTATATTTGAGCCAAATAACTATAAATATGATTGTCCAGCTTTAGGAATAACGCTGTATAAAATAACATTACATTCATTGAATTAGTTTAATATAATATCCCAACAAGTTGGGATGATGATAATAGTTACTGTAGAATATTGTGTTGTTCTAAAAACAAAGTAACCTTTGTGCTAGCAAACGGAGTTTATCTACAGCGAGTTAAAAAATTGGTACTTATTAATCCACATAATCATACGGTAAAATCAGATACACAGATGAAAAATGATAATGCTTACAACCAATAGAGTTAATGCAAATTCTAAAATGAATTATAAATTATAGCAGTGATGTATATATATCACAAAAAACTTCGGCAGCAAATAATAATAATCCTAATTGATTTAGCATACAGTCAGCTTAGACAACTGGTAAAATACGTAGATACCATCATGAAGGAAAGACGTGATAAATCATATTAAACGAGCTTTAAAATGTTTAATATTGTATTGAAGAGCGTAGAAAACTTAAATCCAGATGTCTAACATCTGTAGACTGGAAGACCTACATAAACATGGAATGCATGAAAACACAATTAATGACTAACTACGTGACAATTTTCCTAAATTACTTCATCACAACAAACGAAAGCACGGATTCACTGAATTATTTTAGTGCACGCTACTCACAAGATTGTTTGTCAGCAGTATGTTGCGAAACGTGGCCTTGAAGTATTCAGACAGAGTGAAAGGTTTCAGTGCGGCGAAATCACGGAGTTGGCAGAACACTCGGAAGGAGGCAAATGGACGGTTGAACGCTACATATATATATTATGTAAATACTTCGTAACTTCTCGCAATATATGTTACAATTATACTGTAGAAAGTCTATATGGATTATTAAAAACGTTAATTGTAATTATGTTTTAAACACTACTAAGTTACAAAAAAGATTTCTATATATTGATGTAGTCGAATCTTCAGTCAATGAAGACAAAAAATTGGTAAACTAGTTATTATCATTGGACGATTTCAATTTCACTTGAACTAAGTTAACAAGTTAAAATATTATGCTATTCTCATTGAGGTAGTAATAATTTTAATAACAGCTGTCATGCTAGTCACACGTGTAGTATAGAAATGAGCAACATTGTACAATTTAAATTTTCTTTTTTATGAACTTACAGAATGAGTGAATCCATGCATAACACGTGTCTCCACTTCAAATGTTCTTAAAGATTGACCAGAAATACCTATATAACGCGATACTAGTAAGTAACCTCCGGAACGAGCACCGAGTCCATATGGAGAAATAGTGTGATGGTAAATATCATCACTTTTATCAATTAAATTAGACTTGCAACTGAGTTCATCAACAAGACAGAGTTGAATAACCCGAACTTTAAGTGAACTATTATCGTCACAAGTAGGCATCTGAATTACATTTTCCATTAGAAAATTATTAGGAGCACAAACAGTCATTACTCGATTCAAAATAGGGAACCAGTTACATTTTTTGCTGCGATCAGAAACAGAATCTTGAGAATCAGATGACTTCAAATGACTAGTATAAAAAATATAAATGATTAAGTGACCATAACATAAGAATCTAATTAGTGTCAAACAAATAATATAAGAAAACACATTTAGGGTGTATATTGATTGCATTATAATATATATATTAGGCAAAAGTAATCTGAAAAGAACTCAGAAGAAATTGAAGCCGTGAATGGAATTCTGAGTACACAAATGAATTATATATTATCCGTGGATAGGCCAAATATAAACCAGAGGCAAAATGGACAACTAAATAAATCTACCACGCCAGGCACGTAGATATACAACAATATACAATAATCTTGACTAGGTCACAGAACTGAATTTCTTTCAACATACATTGACTTATGTAACCACATATTATTAATAAATCTCATTCAAGATTTATAGCTTTAAGCTAAGAATACGAACCCATACTAAGTTAGCATTTGATTAACTAAGATGCGAGATCTAAGATAATCTTGGTTAAAAAAATTCGAAATGTATCAATCAACAATATGGTTTTCCTTATAACATGTGTATTTTCATGAGATCAAGTGGTAAAATTCTTGTAAAAAAAACTTACATTATCCGAGAGCTTAAGATAGATAAGTACAAGGTTGTGGGTCCAATACCGATAGCTTGAGATAAAAATCTTCCCGCTTGTAGTTGATCACCTTTTCCTAACCAATAAATACCCAGCCATTGGCATATAGGACGTAATAGATTTGGGACTGGAAAGCTAGATAGTTGCTGATAAGCGCCATACAAACGTGTAGCCATATTATTAGAAACCTGACTCATCTGATCTATATTCTCCGATAACAGAGGATTTTCTTCACATAATGTATTGACCAATTTTGTCTTGATTTGATTAGCAGCCCACTTGGACGCTAACCTGACGCTACGTGGACGCAAAGGCGCATCAATTAAAGAAGAACATGATTCCACTGGGTCTAGAACTATGGTATGGCCTTTGCCCGAGCCTATATTTTTGTTTTCTCTTTTCCTCAAAACATTCTGTATTTGTTGAATGAAAAGTTTAATGGTGAATACATGATATAACAAATACAAAGTACAAATACTTAAAAACTAATTTCCTTAACAGCTTATGGTGTTCAAAAATTAAATATGATTTAGTCTAAATCATTACTACAAATATAATGAAAATTCGAAATGCATATTCACTGAGTAGTAAAAATCCAGAAAGTTAAGTTTATGGACCGGTTAACTGTAGTTAAAATCCGACCACGAAATAACGGAAAAAAAACAGATGTTTAGATGATATTGGGGCCCGTGTGAGAGAACTGTAATTACAGGAGAGCAGCTATACGATCTATTCCAATTACTATTTCACCAGGATTGTCTACATAACACCAATCATACGATGACAGTGAGAAAACAGCGAAGAGTACTACCTAAGGCCTAATGGTTCGAAATCCAGTTGTCCAACGCTCACTCACCATATAGCCAGAAAATCACATAACATGCCAAGTAGATAATTAATAATATGAGGTTTAAGTTCGGGTCCCAGATAGTCTAATCTTTTTTGTCGTCGTTCTCCTATCCTCATTATCATTATAACGAAGATGAATCGCACTGTCTCCTAGATAGTAATAGGTAACAAGATTCATGAAGCCATTACTAAGTTACCTCTGTATCTAAACAAACCTAAGTTTAAAACACATATCATGTTTCGCTAAGAAGCTAGTTGTCACTGTACAATTTAACCTAAACATAAGTGTACATATTATGCGAATTTTCAGAGAAGTCTATTTGATTGTAGCAGCGATAATAGTGTATCAAAGAGAAAAAGGAAAATACTACGGTTCACCAAGTGGACTAGTTCAACTAAATTAAAACTTCACACTGATTAAATGTGTACGTATATTTAAAAAAATACAGGGAATAACAATTTCGGAAGAAACGTGTGGAGGGAAAAGTGGTAATTGTAAACAATCAACTTAGAAATCTTTAGAAATATCAATAAAGTGGAGGTACATAGATCAGTCATACTCAATGTATGTTCATCCGATCGATAGAAAGCATCAGTTAAACGAGATGAAAGTGACAAGATGAATAGCAAAGGAGTTGAAATGATTTTTCCAACTACTAAGAATTAACTAATTCACTCGAATACAAACAGTTTGAGTGTTAGAACTAAATGATTTCAATGTTCATTAAAACGGAAAATTATTTAGATTCGGTCTATCCAATAAAACAGGAAATGGCATATATCATCAACTCATTTTGTGTTGTGCTATTCGCAGACAGATAACACATTACAGAAATACTGATATTGTTAGTATGATAAAAAAATGGTTATTGGGGTTTTATCTAAAAGGTAAGAACATGAACTTTTTCATTCAGAATACTGTTATAAAAATCGAAGACAAAAGCTCAACTCGGACAGTAATCGAAATTACGTGTACTAAATGACAACAAGGATGAAATATAAAAAATACTTTCTAAGTACTAATACGAAAATGTGTGAATTATGGTGAGAAGTCAATCACTGGTTAAAAATGTCTTTAAAACTGACGTGGTTTATTTCTATTTTACTGTAATATATCGGTAAATACTGGATAAGATTGAAAGAAGATAAAAATACATCACAATACGAATATTTGTGTAGATTGCAGAATTTTTATAGGTTTAAACTACGAACTGATCTTAGCTAGATCATAGTCGAAAACCTGGAAGCGTTGGACGACTAGTTCGTTCTAGTATGGGACACCACAGCAGTGTACATCCTCGATGTCACATCCGGAAATCGAATACAGGACCTTCGGTATCGAAGTTAGAACAAAATGAGTAGTTTCAGTTAAAATAATGCAAAAAAAACCAGAACAAAACACCCATTCCAGTTCTAAAGTGGATAAAATTCGGAACGTTTAAGCATGACTGACATACTGTTTAAACAATTCAAAGTAGAGGTAATCAAAAAACTAAAAATACATACTAGCTTTAAAAGAAGAAATTAAATGTTTTAACCAATGTCAACTCACTTTAGTTTTGGACAAATGGTCACAATATATTTCCAGAGGTTGAGAATTAGCTGGTTTTCGAAAGGTATAACCAAGTAATGGTATCAATATTTCATTGTCTGCTTCATGATTATCTAAAATAATATCTTTATTCGTTAAGGGATTATCACAGCGTCTAGTTTGTATTGTGGATTCTATAGTTACCTCATTAATTTCAGTGGTTTTACCAACCTGTTGATAATCTATAAAGAAAAATAATTGGCATGAAAGAGGATAAAAATTCAGCAAACAATCAATTGACAAGCTTTAGAGTAGTATAAATTATATATATATATATATATATATATATATATATATATATATATATATATATATATATATATATATATATATATATATATATATATATATATATATATAATATTAAATAACGAAATAAAATAAATTTCGATAATGATATTAGAAGACGAAGATTATCAGAACTATGTGATATATTAGCTCAATTCATTTTGAACAATCTAGTCACACATATACATGTTAAGAGCATTTAAATATAAAAATAAAAGGTCAACTAGACAGACTAATAAGTAATAGGGTCCGAATGTACTTACTAAATGTCTTCGTCTACTTATCAAACATGTCATTACTCTTCATTCAAATGTACTTAAGATACCGAATAAATACTTAAAATATTCATTTATGTCAGTAGTTTTCATCTTTATAAATTTACTTTTGTTGCGCAGTGTAGTAACTTGAACCAGAGTACTATTAAAATGGATTTTATACTCCAATATTTACTTGGTTAGGTTGTATTGGTAGATAATTAAACGGGATTTCAAACTATAAGAGATGAATAGTAGGAAGATGGATTTAGGAATCCAACGCTCCACATAGTATCATGTTTAGATAATACAAACAGGACTAGACTTTGAAAATTAAATGGTATGACTCACGGGATGATTGACAGCGACTTCTGTTGTGTGGTGAAATATTTAAACTAGTTTTGTTTCGGTTATCTGCTGGACGACGGGGAGCATTTGGTTTAGGTACAGGAGGTGGTAACTGTTTGCCAGTATGAAAATCTTTCTTTGACTGAAGTTGAGGTGACGATGATTTTTCAATATTATTATTCCAGGTTTCTGATGAATTTTCTGTAGGAGTGATACTGAGCAATGAAAAAGCTTCTATGAGATCTTTATTTTTATTAGGCTCTCCCTACAAAATCAGCGAGGGATTGGAAAGTCACAAAAAATACGAAAAATATGAATTTAGAGGGATTATAGTTGACTAACATGAAGATTATGTCCGAATATGAGCTACAAAAAACGATTTTAATCTTAACATGAATACGACAAAAGAATGATGTTTGTTTTATTCAATAAACCTTATTTAGAGGGACATAATAAACAACAACGATACAGATGTGATGTTACCCTTTCAAATATTGAATTATTTAGAACATTTAACCCACAATTATAACCTCAAATCCAGTTACATTATAGGGATCTCATTTTCTGTTGGAGTACTACCAACAATATTACAAGTCATCATGTACGTGCTACCCAACCGTAAAATATACAACGGAATGATTATTGGTAGGTGGTTATAAACATAGAGTTTACTTAGAAGGGAATTATAATCAACAAAAAACTTATTAGAGTGGGGGTATTGAACCCTTGACAGTAATTCATGTCGGAAAGTAATAAAACTGAACTTGGCTCATCATAGAAATATGTAGTCATTAATATAATTTTTTCCTGAAAACAGCAATAGAGAGTCATTTCCAGATGTATTATCATAACATAGATATCCTAACAGTTATTTGATTTCATACTTTTCATTTCACCCACTATTTGTGTAAATTAGAGATGCGGCAAATTTATCAGTTACATAAGTTTGAATGATGACCGTTGCATATATACGTTAGCGAGAAATCTCTATCATAAGTGCAACGTAGTTAACTAGTGATCCTGATTTCTATCATTTCCTTACTTTTGGGTATAAAGTTCAGAATGCTTCCGAAACTGTTATAATATCCTTAGGTTCGTGAGAACCAATGTGAAGTTAGTAAACTAAGTAATTGTAATCTATAAAAGGAAGTGAACGATTGACTGGGTTTATCATTATAAGTTAAAAGAAATTTTCAGTTAAATAAATAAATGAGGAAAACAGTATCGAAAGTTTACTTACATGATTACGAGTTTTTACAGTTGCTTTGACATGCACCAATGGAACAGTGTACAAAGCAGGTAAGAAATGAGGGGATGGTAACAGTTCATTTCGAACTACCTGAGTCAAGTTAAACAACCAAGGCCAGGAAACCCCATTAAGGATTAAACAAACACAGGTTCCTAGAGGTAATCCACCAACACTCAGGAAGGACTTGCTTACAGATTCAAAGGCAAAATCGACAGTGTGAGGTATATAGAATCCTTTACTGTACCACTCATTCCATTCTGAGGTAAGTCGTTGTCCAGCGATTGCGGAAGCAATTTGGGTAGCACTTGGATAGGTATCAACTGCTTCACTTTTGTTATTAAAGTATGTACGTCGTGTTGGACTACTAGAAAAAATTGAACTGAATGGTCTATTGTAGCCGGACAAAAGAGGATTAGAACCGTCGGAAAATGAATCGTTTGACAAAGAATTTACTACCGTCGTATCTTTCACCAACTGATTCTCACCAAGACCATTGTAGAGAGATTGATTGGGAAATGTTTTAGAATGAATAAAAGCAGACTCATCAATTTCCGTGGTAGCTTTTGAATTCAAATTTCCTTTTGAATTTTGCTTAGTTCTTTTAGTGACTAGTTCCTCAAGAGACACTTGACATGTTGCAATGTGATTTAGCTGTCGCAGACGTAATTCAAAAGCCCATTGACGTTGAGCAAACATATCTAGATGTGCCATTAAGTTCAGAGCAATTTGTGTACTAAAACAAAGTAAGGCAAACATAAAAGGTTGGTACAAATGGACTCTGTGTATGTGATTCCCGAAAATCTCAGCTGTATTTAATTAATCTGTAAAATCTGAATAGTACAATAAGGGTATTAACTTTTATACATTAACTTACTAACTGCATAAGTGAAAACGTTGGCCAACGCATAATAACTCATTTTGATACACACGTGCTTCTCTTACAGTACCTAGAAGCGTATATAACTCAGCAGTTTGATGGCAACCGTATAAAAGTAGTCGCGTTCCCAACCACAGATTAAGTAATTCATTATCTAGAAATAATCAACAACATCATAGTTCTCAATTACAATGCGACGATATATGACAATCAGAAAAATGTTTATCAATCATGGTCACTAGATGAGTTGCAAGCTTTTTCTGAAGATAAAAGCGTAGGAGTATAAGTAGTTTCAAATCATGTTGAACGCTAATGATAGATTGCCAGTTATGAAAAACCCTAGAGTTCGAAAATAAATATTTTCAGTGCAGTCGAGATTTTATCCTGTTTTATTAAAAAGTTATGGTCAAAGTTAAATTATGTCAAACAAGACATTTAGACTGATTTCCAAATCAATCCATCAAATTTTCCATCTTCTCTGGAAGCAGCACTTATTCAGTAATTAGTTTCGAAGTGTCGGTCATGTTATTTAGGAGATAAAAAGTATATTTAATAATCGATGAGGTGAGACTAATCAATAATGCATAAATAACAAATACAGTTAATATACCTTTTGTTAGCAGGACAGAGAATTGAGAAAAGCGAGTCACAGATAAGATTATATTGCAGTGTGAGTATTACTAACTCCGCCTGTAGCTGTTCTAGGATTATTGTCGTTCCCGAACCCAGATAAAGGAGGAGGGTTAGGTAAGAGGTCACCAACCCCATCACGTAGAAAACAACCCTAATAAAATACATTAACCACAACAAACAATTTAAACTCCGAGTCCAGCGATCTCCATTCAGAAGAATCACGACACCTCATAGTGAATGCCGAGATTCTCAAGAAATCACGAGGACGATGTCCCTTCTAACAATCACAGCAACAATTAATATAAGTACACAGAATATCCGGACAATGTGAAAGACCGGTTAGAACCAGTCAAATAACTACGGAAATAAGGCGATACAAATTGTCAGTGCTCGGAATCAGTGAAACACATTAGACCCAAGCTGGAAAGAAGAGATTATATTCAGGAGAGATGCTGCTGTACTCTAGTCACGGGCAACAAAATGTTCTGCATACACAAGGAGTTATACTGATACAGTTCAAAGAAGCACGAAAAGCACTTGTGGGATGGAAATATCATGCATCCAGAATCATCAAAGCATACTTCAAACACAAAGAAGAAAATCACAATGAACGTTATCCAATATTATGCACCCACCAATTAAAGCATCGACGACGATGAAGATCAGTATCGTGCGAGGCTGCAAACGATTGTTAAGGCGTGCCCAAGAAAGGGCCTGACCATTCAAATGGGAGACTTAAACGCCCAAGTCGGAATGGACAACACCAGATATGAAGATAACATGGACTGACTGAGAGGAAGGGACGAGAATGGTGAGGGATTCGCAAATTTATATGCATTCAACAAAATGATTATTGATGGTACTATACTTCCTCATAAACACACACAAAGCTACAAGCCTTCCACCGGATCACACTACGCAGAACCAGATTGATCGTATTTGCATCACTAAAATATTCAGAAGGCCAATGGAAGACGTGAGAAGCAGGATAGGAACTGGCATAGATTCAGATCGCCATTTACCTGGTGGTTGCCAAGATGAAACTGAAGCGAAGCAAGCACTCGACAATCGGAGAAATAACATTACAAAGGTTTAATACAGAAATCCTTCAACACACTGACAAAGTCAAGGAGTTTAGAATAGCTCTGAACACTTCACCAATAGTCGAAGAAATCAGGATGGTCATTAGACAAATCAAGAGTGGGAAGACTGAAAGACCAGACAACATACCAGTTGAAGCACTGAAGTCGGACATTGAAATGACTGAAAAGACGCTCCACGTTCTATTCAGAAAGACACGTCATCAAGTCAGAATATTCAATACGAACGTGAAGACAGTCCTACTGTATGGAGCTGAAACGTAGAGAACTACTACAACCATCATCAACAAGGTACAAGTATTTATAAATAGTTGTCTACGCAAGATACTTAACACCCATTGGCCGGATACCATCAGCAGCAGCCTACTGTGGGAGAGAACAAACTAGCTTTCAGCTGAAGAGGAAATTAAGGAAATACATGGGAAGTAGATAGGACAGAGATTGTGGAAATCACCAAAATTCATGAAGAGACAATCGCTAACTTGTAATTCCGAAAGGGGACGGGAAAGAGGAAGGCCAAAGAACACACTGCGTCTAGAATTGTGAGCAGACATCAAAAGAATGGACAACTGGAAATAAGTGGAAAGGATTGCTTAGGACAGAGTTCGATGGACAATGCCGGTGGTCAACGTATGCTCCTTCCTTGACGAGGGGTAACAGGCATAAGTAAGTATTTATGCTGATTGCTCCACTTACAATCGATCAGGGCTACCGCATGTTGTAATTTCTCCTATTATGACTTAGCTATTCCTGATGCATAGCATTCTTGGACACCGATTCACTCGACAAGTCCCCAAATCAGAACACATTTGGACAGGAACGAAACCATACTCCAAATAATAAGAGTAGATGGAAGTAGGAAGCACAATAAGAGAAAAGTTAGTATATTTGTAATTTTTACATGAGAAAATTCTAGAATCTTCTGCAAGTATTGACTAGCGCGGATTGGATAAGAAATGGCCAATCAGCATGCATCAACACAATCGGGCACGAAACATGCTTTAATCCAATCAATGTCCTGTTAACACTGGGTGAACTAAGAAGACTCCTAAATATTCCTGTGAAAAGTTTATATATTCACTGACATATTCCTTACATTAATGTTTTGCTTGGAATATATTTACGTTCTTTTCAAGTTGCGCATTGATTCGGGAACCAATGGAGCACTGTGAAATTTTCAAGAATACTAAGCGGTAGAAAAATATTAAGCCGAATAAGGAGACTTGACATAATGGTAATGAAAGGTTCCTAAAGATTAATAAAACCGTTTTTAAAAGTGCGAACCAGAATAACAACGAATAATTATAAGTAGATTCGACAAGCTAGAGGTAAACACTGTGCATACTAACAAACGCCGATTGAGAACTACGTAAATTTTTAGAGATCATAAACTAACCTAAGTTGGACAACCAATGGAAACCTGAGAATACTGGACAGCTTTATCGTCCTAGTACAGGGCTCTTTAGCAGTGGACATCTACGAAAAAACTGGAGGACCGAACCCAGGGTCATCGGCCTCGCACGAGGCACTTAACCTCTAGACCACTAGCCCGAAATCCAATGGTGCAAATGTTTAACTTCAACAGACCTGTGACATTTTATTAAAGGTAAAATATAAGATTTTATGAAGTACCATAAAATTATTAGGAATAAATTATACAATTAAGGTGATAAGAAAGGCTTACAAGCTGAGAAAACAACTGCTTATACCTGTTAATGAAACAGAAGACCAAGCAGCGGTAGATACTTTGAGTTCTGAAGGTACTGGCTTTGGTTCAACAAACCTTTTCAAATTTTTGGGACCAACAGACGGATCTTTATTTTCTTTCCCGATCCCGACCTTAACTTGCTGTTTTGTGCAGGAACGATTTTGTAATTTCTGCTCACAACACAAACGCATAAATTTCACTAGTGTTTGACCATGCATACGAACAATAACTGCAGCATGCAGAGGAGATACGGGCGGTGGAGGGAACGTATCGTGAGTGCCTGACTGAAGAGGTGTATTGACCAACTCAAAGTTAGCACCAAATATGCAGCGAGCATGAAGATGCAGCCAGTAGAAGTAACCACGAGCACAGACAACAGCCCATGACTTTCCCTCAAAGAACTCTTTATACTGCAGTCGAATAAGATCCAGGTTTGCAGAAAAAGCAGGCCACTGACAAAGACAAGAACGATATTTTAACCGTTAATACCACCACATATTTAAACGTTAGGATGGATATTAATTCAGTTGCCGATAAGGTGACATAAATTAAATTACGTATATAGAGTAAAATTAATGCAATGTCTGAATAATAGACTGAACAATCAGGTCTCACTTGATAGCACAGTGAGTGAATACGAGTAAATTTCTACCAATTGCTTATGAAATTTTATCATGAGTATTTTGTGTCAATATTTCGCACATCAGGATGCTATTTTATAACAGTTATTTATTTATTTTAACACATAGATATTGGTACAACGAGGCACCAAATACATATGCGCCACACAGATCTCATTTGATATGTGTGAGGGCTGTGTAAGTGCCCGGGTGCCCAAACCGAAGCAGGTGGTTTTCTTAGGGGGCCACGCCCGGAGCCTTCGACCTGAAGGTCTGATCCACAAGGCAGTGGGGCAACGTAAGGAGATGCAGTTCCATGGTAACCGGTGACCAACAACTGGATCATACGCCAATTGTTCCCGCAGGATACTGGAGCCCATGTGCATCATTGGTTTGGAATCCGGTTAAAGCGCCGGACATTCGCTTTTCGTTCTCCCATTTTCGTAAACAACACCCTCGCCACGAGAAGGCAGTGAGGACTTCCCTGACAGAGGCTATATACCCGTGGCCATGTGAGAGCATCTCGAGAGGGAGAGCGGACTCTCCCTACTCTCGGCCGTACCAGGGCATTTGGGGGCCTATTTTATAACAATAAAAATTAGTTCGAATGAAGTCTCTATAAAGAGTAACGACTTCTATACTATTTGGAATCTTCACTCTAGTTAGTAGATAGAAAACAAAACGAAAGTAGTCTCCTTCGTCATATTGAATTTGTACCTGAAAATTAATGGGCTGGTTTACGAATGTACCAACTGAAGGCGTATCAGATATACATAAGGAAGTGAAATGATTTTAATTAATGTATATGATGATCTAAATGGCACTTTAAACTATGATTCCAGGGAAAGGAAAAATGTTGAATAGCAGTAGATTATTCCGTACACCAAACGTACAATATAAGTATGTTAGGAGGAATTGATTATAAGTCCCAAAAATATATTAAAGGAATCACACTATGCTTTACGTTACAATAATAACTAGTTGCTACTCTTGATTCCAACACAATGTGACAAAAAATTCTGTTACACACTTGGTTACTAAGTCACGATAATTTACAATAATTTAAAACTGACTAGTACACAACCATATGCATATTTGGGGATGAATTAGATGTAAAGTTAATCGATCCCCAAAATGATTTTCACTTCGATGTAGGTTGGAATGATATCCAGATAGCTGTAAAATGAGCGGTGATATCTACCAATAACCATAACCAAAAAGCTAGGAAAATCAGTCGATTCCGGTAGCGCTTACCAAGTTGATAGATGCCTGAAAAGACATTTTATTAGGTTTGAAACATGACAGGAAGCACAAAAAACTTAGAATTAGACTAATAAAACGTCCACAAAGTGATCATTCCTAGCGAAAGCATAAGCGATGGCAAAAGAGGTCGCGTCAGGCAACAGTAGAACACTTTTCAGACTCCTTAAGGAAGTAGGAATTAAAAATTCAGCTGTTAGTTGGTCTATTTTGCAAAAAGACAGAACGATAATATAATCACAGCCTGAGACTGGAACGGTGGGCAGAAGAATGTAAATAACAGTTCAACTTCAATCTAGCTACCATCTAATCGTTTACTAATACCAGGCAACGCTATGTTAGTGAAGTTAAAAAGTTCATGGCTGAGGCCAATTTAAAGCAACAGAGAACAGCATGCTCTGACTGACTAAAACTCCAGGTCTTTAAGGATGTTAGTTGTTTCAGGTGTTAGATTGTCTGAGATATAAGTTAGACTTGAGACTGGATACAATTTCATCTGTGTGGTCGCGATAGCAGGTCGTTCCAGTAAAAATCGCTTCGTGATTACCACAGAAGAATACGTCTACCTAATATAGGGTCTAAAGTACTGACCTTGATAATAATCGAACGCTTTACTAGGGTTCGTGAACACCAAACACGGGAAAACTTGGCTGATTCCACACCTAGATATGTCTATCAAGTATTAGCTCTTCATTAGGTCCTAGAACACAGATGCACCTACCGACTCAAAACTATAAGAGTATTTTTTGAGATTGAGCCTGCGTTAATGTCTGCCTCAACGCCAGAACTAAAGATATGGAGTGAAGTAGTTCAGTGTGTCAGTCATCCCCCTTAACTTGTCAACCCTCGTAGGTTTATATGTGACCAAATTTTAGCATGGATCCAGAAAGAGTTTGGCTTTCGCTAACTCGTGTTACTGGTGGTGTAGGCGAGATATCCATCTTCCAACTAACGTGCCAGTATATTGTATGATAGTTCGTCCCATTTTACTTCATGACTATGAGACGTGGCTAATAAAAATAGGGGATATTTATAGGTTACTAGTATTCGGTGATAGATGTCTTCGAATTATTGCTCGTACATATCGGAGCTATCGAGTTAGTAATGCTGAAATTCGATGCAGGGTACTAGGTAATTATGGAAAAAATTGGTTAGTAAGGTAGTGCATCTTCATCAACCGAGGTGATCGTGACATTCATTGCGTATGACTTTCCTGGCCCCCGAATTCCCTGATACGGCCGAGGGTGAGGAGAATCCGCTTTCTCGGATTGCTCTCACATAGCCAGGCGTATACAACCACTACCAGAGAAGTTCTACTCACTGCCTTCTCGTGGCGAGGGTGTTGTTTACGAAATTGAGAGGACGGAAAGCGAATGTCCGGCACATTAACCGGTTCCGTAGATATGGAGGATTCATCTAGGGGAATTGGAAAACTCTGATTCCAAGCCAATGATAGAAATGAACTCAAGGATCCTGAAGGAACAAATGACATGATGAAACTGCTGTTGGTCACCGGCTACCATGGGACTGCATCTTCTAACGTTGCTCCACTGTCTTGTGCATTAGACCCTTAGGTTTAAGGCTCCTGGTGTGGTTCACTGAGAAAACCACTTGCTTCGGTTTGTGCACCCGGACAGTATCACAACCCTCACACAAATCAATGATAACTGCCACTGGCTTCATTGTTATTGTGTGGCGCATATCTATTTGGTGCCCCATTGTACCAATGTTTATGTGTTCAAATAAATAAATAAATATGACTATCCGCCGTATACATCGTCATACAAGTAAGTTGGAAGAGCGCTAGTGGATCTTTAAACAAGACGTAGCATCAGTTTATAAAGCAACTGACTGTTGGAGTGATGCGTGTAGGTCGACCAAAACTAATTAGTTCAAGACTACGTGATCGCCACAACCAATGGTTAGAGATTTTGAGTGACATTGTTTAGCATCATTCGCAAGGCCCTAAGTTCATTCACCTTTTTATTTCTCTTCCACCTTGAATCCCCAATTATCTTATAAGCTTAGTTTAAAAAACTAAAACATGTTTTCTTCTTGAATTACATTATTATTTTCTTTTTTTATTTGAACACGTAATTATTGTAAGAAGGTGTTTGTGGAAATTTTAGAAAGTTCACAGATTGAAATCATGAGTTAGTTGAAGCTAGACCACTATGGAAAACTTGGAAGCACTGTACGGCCGTTTCGTCCTAGTATAGGACTCCTCAGCAGTGCGCATCCACGATCCCGCACCTTCGAGGTGCAAAGTACTTCTACAAAACTGTCAGGACTCTAATCATGTACTCACCCTGGATGGTGAGCAGATAGAAGTGGTCGAGAAGTTCGTGTATCTGGGTAGCTGCATGAGTGTTGGTGGTGGCTTGAGTGATGAAATCAATACACGTATAGTGAAAGCCAGAGCGGCTTATGCCAATCTGGGCCATCTTTGGCATCTTCGTGATGTTAGTCTGGCTGTAAAAGGTTGGATCTACAACGCGTTGGTGAGAGCAGTTTTGCTCTATGTTCGTGAAACCTGGCTTCTCCGAGTTGAGGATGTTAGACGACTCTCTATGTTTGGTCATCGTTGTCTCCGAAGGATTGCTGACATCCAGTGGCAACATCATGTTAGTAATGCAGGGGTTCGGCATCGTGTGTTCGGGAGCAGAGACGATAATGCAATTGGTGTCACCATCTTGAAACATCGACTTCGGTGGCTTGGACGTGTTCTACGAATGTCGTCTCAGGGAATTCCACGTCGTGCATTATTTGCCAACTCTGGGGCTGGTTGCAAAAAGCGGAGAGGTGGTCAGTGTATGACATGGTGTCGGGGTATGAAAGAAAGCTGCGATGGGCTGGCTTGTGTTGGTCCTTCACGACTCCCTGACTGGGGTCCGAGAGATGGTACGACAATGGCTAGAGACGTTATCAGATATGGCTCAGAATAGAAGCCAGTGGCGATCTTGCTGTTACCTTCTTTTACTTTCTTCATAAAATGTGGTTGTATCTTCCTTAACTGAAAGATTTCTTCTGGTTGTACCTTTCCGTTTCCCCCATTATTACTTTTATTATTATTACACTACCGTACAGTAATCTGTTCGTTATTGTTTTATTTCTCTTACGCTCCTTGCCTTTTTTCTTTCTCTTGGAATTCTGATTATTTTGTGTGGCGCATATATATTTGGTTCCCTCTTGTACCAATAATTATGTGTTCAAATAAAATTTAAAAAATAATAAACTTCGCCACTGAGTCCTTATACTGTTACTACATCTACGACTCTGAAATACACCTTGAAAATCTGATCTCAATGCGCCAGTGGTGTGAGGAATCGAGTCGATACACATATGTACCGAGTTCCACGTTGCGTATGACTAATTGGATATGCAATCTGGGAGTTACTTTTGAACACTTATTTCCATGTTTAAAGATGATAGTAAAATGGGTGAAATCGATGCATATAAATACTTATACTAACTATTAGCTTTCAGAGTACAGCGCATAAGGAGGCGAGACTACAATTTATGGACGAAACAATCAGATTTCTGATGACAGGTCTTGGATTTCGGTGCGAAATTCACTATCCATCTGGCTAAATAGAGCCTTGGCATTTTAGCTTATATCAGTTCGTGATGAAAACAATAAATCTAATCTCTACACCTAACCAGTCAGTAACAACGTAGAACTTCGTACATCAGTTCAAGTTACCATACCACATTAGCACAGAGATACAATTGTCAATTCAAATCCCGTAGTGGTAGAGGTAGTAAGAGTATAAGCAGTAATCTGAAACATTAGGGTTTGAAGATGTTATTCAAGGAGTATAATACAGTGAAATAAATTTAAGAAGAGAAAATAAGGGACATGAGGAATTCAGAAGATTAGAATTTGGGAGCACGCAAAGAGTGGATGCAACTGCGCCACTGCAAACGATTTTGAGCCATGTCATTCAAGGTCTCTAACCATCGGTTGCTATCATCTCACGGATCCCAATTACGTAGTCTGCACCTACCAACATGGCTCAGTCCACTTGGAAAGATTCGAATGTGACCAACTTGGTCTCGTGTGCTGTAACGTGTATGAGGGCTGATATCACTTGCCGGCTGCCCACACTGTGGAAGGATATTTTCCGAGGAACCTGAAAAGGAAGTTAGGTTAATGTTGATCTTAACGACCTGGAAGCGTGACCGTAGAGCCTAAGGGATAACTGCTTGAGGCCGGTCGCACACGGCCTTTTTGTGGGAGATTTTTAACGTGTTAGCTCCGTTGTTTGAAGGGCCCTATCGCCGGAGACTGAAATCTGTGAGGTGTGATATTTTTAGGGTCGACGTTTTCTAACCCCTTCCTTCGTGTTGAGAAGGCAGCATCGCTACAGATGCTGGTTGTCCGAGAGAAACACCTTACTGCTGTAACACTCCTCTACAGTCAGCAGTACGACTTCGCCCTCAGACCTTGTGCCGCCGCTTTTAGTCTTACCGTTCTCTGATCGACCTGCCTGGCATGGAAGAACCTAGCGGAACATATGTTCCAGCCAATATAGCTCGGTTGGGTCAACACGATAGGCAAGCCCGACCACCACGTCAAGGTAGCAGCTACGACCATAAACTGTAAGTCACAATCCTTATCCATCACACAGGTTTAAAGCCCTCATTTAACCCTAGTCAGTAGGTTAACATTCTCAAGGCCACTTAGGCGTCGCTGAAAGGTCGTCCATATATTGTAGACTCGCCCATATGGATTTAGACACGACCCATCTATATCGAATAAAGCAATTAAGATCCATTGGACCGTTTAGAATTAAACTGAAAATTGACAACAGGGTTTGCTGATATTTCGAGGGCAGAAATTCAAAACGTGACAGTAAATCTTCATCAGCTGTTGAGAAGTATGCAGGTTCATCCCTATTTCGATTTGTTGACTATCAACTCAAAGGTTTACGAATGAACAGTAAAACTACGGGACACCAGAGATCAAGGTACATACATTTGAGGACGGTAACTGCTGATTTCGACCGTGAAGTAAACCTTGTTGATATGTGAATAAAAATTGTACCAAATTACGATCAGAAGTAACCTCAATGCATGGATATAAAACTAGCTTTAGTAACATACATTTGAGAGACATTCCCGATTCTTTTTATCATCTTAAAAGTATTTTGAAGCCACCAGTAACAGTGAAGTGCTTAAACGTTCGGATCACGCTTGATAAAATTTTGAACTTCAGTTCAAGAATAACAGAAAATGTAAGTGAGGAACAATATGGATTGTAGTAGTATCCGATTATCGCAGTATAGCAGCGTAAATGTGTCGATGCGACTACCCTCAATCGATTGTTAATGGTAGTTTACGATACAAAATGTGTTACCGAATTTGTATGGATCGCAGAAAAATAGAATTGACAAGATATCTTCTTTCCAACAATATACAGTGGATGAGGGTTTTATAAAGTTCACGTCTGTAAATAATTCCGATTTTGTAATTTGTAATTTCAACCAAAGATTGATTTTTCCCAAAGCACAAAGAGCCAATGATGGAAAACTAAGGGGATGAGAATATACTAATAAAACCTGGTACGATAACCATGAAACGGAAACTACTAATAGAGTTGTCAACCTTTAACGTGTCGCGTTCTGATACTTCGAAATCGGCAAATATATTGTCTCTGGGAGCAAATAACTAATTGTTATGGATGCGGAAATGGAGACATTTTGGATATTATTGGTAAGTCATAATAAAATGAATAGAGGTGTGTATTTATGCTACTTAACAGCTTTAAATACGACTTTGGATATGTTAGTTGTCTTCGTACTATTTCTCTTCTCTGTGACAAAAACTACAAAGGTGTGATGATAACTTTCATATAAAAATAAAAGTAGTTTCTATACTTCATTCGGTAACACAACACATGAAAATACAGTATTTAATGAAAGCCTTAGTCCCAGGCAAAATTATAAAACAACGCGTATTACAGACGGAATATTTAACTTACGTTGAAATAGTGTTCGATATAGGCTCTTCCAAGGGATACAACCATCGACTGGAAATGTGCATGTGGAGTAGGGAGTCGGCCTGTCAAACAAGCTTCATGTGTGGACTCAAAAATTTCATTACTGTTGTTAAGAACTGTAAGAACCTCGGTACGAACTGAATTCAGGGTATCATAAACCGAAGCATTTTGTTCATATGCAAAAATTTTTGAAAGACAGTAGTTTGTCAAAGCATAAGAAGCATCCAAAAATCTTCCTGAGTTGTCGCTGACTGTAAACATTACTTTCCATACTGACGATTCCAATTCGAACTAACAAAAGTTTTTGGGATAAGTGTGAGCACATTAAAAGTACGTAAACCATTTTATTTAAAAAAATCATTACATCAGCCGGTACGTAGTGGAAGATGGTAATTGAAAAATAACGAAACAACATAAATGGAACTGGAAACGAGACGTGCCTCAGATATAATACCCGCTACATTCAAATGCCAACAGATGTTTTTATATTTGGGAAGTCCAATACAAATATTAAAGACGTCCCATAAAATCGCCAAGTAGGATTTCAGGACTTGATTTTTAACGAAAATCACCCAAACATCAAACTTCCTAGTTCTACATGTCTAACGTGGATTAAAATGGGTAAAAAGCCGGACTACATAAAACATGTTTTACTTTAACTCAAACTAGATATCTTGAAGAGATAGTTGTAATAATATAGTCTAGTCATAATGTAATCTTAATTTTAAAGCTTATACAGTTTGTAAGGGAAAATTCCATACTGATTTATATGAATATGACGAAAATCGGGTGTTCTAAATGCATAACTGACAACTACATGAATCTTGCATCTCCATTACTACCAATAGTCATACAATGCCCAAAGACCAAACCTAACAGTCAGGTATTGACTGAAAAATGAGTGACCTGCGAGCTGATTTTCTACAGCCGCCTACGATATATATATGAAAAGCTGGCTGTCATATGGCAGCAGATTTTAACACGAATTTTAGGTCGAGTACATACTGACCATAAGTATGTAAGACACCAAAAAGTTGTAGTAAAAGTAACCATCATGTCTATTCAACAGATATGCTTACACTCAGTTTTGGTTTTAATGGATTTGCAGGAGTTTACGAGGACCAAAGAATGTATTATTGTAATTAATACAAAACTCATTTTAAATAGGTTTGTACACAAACCTATTTCAACAATCGATGCAAGGTACATAACAATACACTTTACGTCCACCTAATTCGCGAAAATAATCGGTGTGTTTGAATAGATAGGTAGACAATACAGAATTAACTAGAATACTTACAAGATTCTGACAGGAAGCAAGAATTCCGAGTAGTTCGACTCGCGTTAACAGTTGACGGACCGACTGGTCAGGATGTTTTGGAGTACCTTCCAATGCCTTCAGACAGCTTTCAAGCTGTTTTTTGATGCATTTAGAGTTGAAAACAGTAGGTAGTCCTGCGTAAACTTCTTCCGACTCCAGATATTCGGAAGTAAAATTAGGAGTACTCTCAAGCCGTCCAACATCACAAACGCTTGGGACTATGGATTGAAGCTAAGTCACTTAATACGAAACAAACAACTGGTTACCAAACTAGTACACCGAGAAAGTTCGGAGAAAAAGCCGTCCAAAGAAAACATTAAATGTCCCACACATTCAAAACCGCCGCGCGAGTAACCGCAATATACCTTCGAAACATGTAAACAGATCAAACGTCCAAGTACGTCAAACATCATATAGATGATTCTTATTTCAAATTTTTAAGTCCTGTCGATCAAAATTTTTTTATTATTTTATATCGGTGAAAGATGATTCTGTGCAACCGATATGAGTATCCATATCTCAGATTTATAGTCTTTCTACCCGTTCTTATTCTGAAAAGCAGGAATATTAACTCACGGTTAGAGAATTAATCGGAAATCAACACTCACAGCAAGTTTACCAGTGCTTAAGGGACAAAAGTATAAATGAGGTCGTATGAAAATGTAACTTTTCGTGACAGAATTAACGAACTAGTTAGTTCTTAGACATCTACACACAAATGGTGGGAAAATGTTCTTGATTGTTGTGAGATATGAGTCTTACTATGCGACATTTGGAACTAGACGGAAATTGAGGTATTTAATAATAGTAGTTGGGATAGTGGGGTACACCTGAAATAATCATTCTCAGTAGATACATATTTGAAATAAATGTCGAACGTTCTCCTAAAGAACTCCTTTAAGGATCCCGTCATCTCAGCTTCTGATGAAGTGAACCATAACCCTGTCTTTATGACTACGAGATAGTCTTCATTCAATTTTGTCGTTCGTTTTCTGTTCCGACCACAATTAGATCGTATGGATGATTGCTGTAGAAATATAAATCCTGACTACTGTCGTATATTATTATCGACTTAATTCATGCTGGAGAATAACAGAATTAAATAATTCGAATACGAGAATGGATTTCGAATATAAATTTTTTGAAAACTCACTGATGTGGACAGTCAATCAGAGGGATGAGGCGAAAAAAAGAGAGCGAAGTGAAACGACGCGCGGTGGAGAGGGTGTGTCAGTCAACTCCATCGAAGCAATCATTATTCGATATTTATAGTCACACAGAAATAGGCTACAGATATGTGATGAGTAGAATGAGAAGTGTACACACATATGCTCATATAAAAACAGTCAAGGTTGATGAGTGAATAATTATCAAGGTCAACACGTGAATCAAGAAGAATGGATAAACTGGCCTATCCAGAAGTTAGAATAAGTCATATGGGCTTAACATAGTAACTGACACTACACATATATATATCCTCTTGACTATAATTTAATACTAAAATATCATGTTGATTTAGCAGAACGATGGAGATTATGGACGATATTCTATTTTAGGATTATAACTGATCTGATTCTCTCGCATTCCTGGGACTGAAAATTTAGAACTTCTTGGAGAAGTAGGTAGTTGATCGAGAATAATATCCATCATATGATAAGGGTCATGATAGAGATGCTCTTCCGAACAAGGTCCAAAATAAACATACAAAGCAGCTTTTAGCAACTCTGCAGTCAATTTCTTTGTGTTGTTTGTGTTATTCTACAATACACATAGTGTAAGCTTTACGTTGAATACTGGTTAGGATACTGCAAGTATTCGGAGTTTGACAACACTATTGCATGTAACAACTTTTATAATCAAAATTTGTCAACCCACTGAAATCAGAAGTCAGAAAAGTAGACGTTCGAAGATATATTTGATAGGCTGTCGATATACCAAGTAGTGAATAATCAAAGCTGGCTAGTTGGTGTAGGGGATGTATATTGTTACACCTTTTTTCACGTGGTATTATTTGATTTTCCTATTAGTTTTTCCCTTTAATTTAACATTTATTAGCGATAAAAAATTTGTCACTGGTAGGGTTCTATCAACTTGACACCTCATTTCTGGAACTCAACGTCACACATTAATTTCGCTAGTTTTCACGTTGTTTACCTCTTTTCGCTCATTAACGTTAATATATTTGCTCTTGAAAAATACTAGAACTGATCGTATCATAAAACTTTACAGGTCTAGTAAGCCAAGTTTTGACTGTCGTTGTTCACTTAATTAAACTTTATATTTACATTACTTCCAATAATGTCCAGGCCATCTAAAAAACGTATAGTCTCTCCTAATGCCTATAGCACCTGCAAAAGATCTGAATCAGTCACTAAAGCGAATAATGTGAAGCCTTATAAACACACTGATCAGTCTGCATCCTACTCTGATCTTCCTTTAGCTACACTAAACGTTCACCGTTTACTTGGACAAGACATATCACTACCTTGTATCTCGCTTGTAGATATAAATAAGAGCAGTCACATACCATTATAGTCGACATCATTTTCAGTCCAAACAAAAGTATCACATGTTGTAAGCAGTATTTAGACAGTGCGACTGACCCCAAACACCCAACAATTTTACAATTGGCCATCGTGAGTGGCGGCCCACGGAGTACATGTAAGCCTGCCTGCAATAGCCAGCCCGATGATGTAGATCTTGACTACTCACCCAAACATATACTCCATCCCCCAACTGAGTATGCACAAGGTGACCACCCGGTAGGCACTTGCAATAGGTTTGTATGTATCCATATCGACCTTAAAAACGTTGATATAAATTCCAATAATCTCAATACCGGTAAATCTACAAGCAGCTAAACAGTACTTAGCCTCACCCAAACTATCCAAGACTTATTACTGAACAAATATTTAATCAGTGTTCCAGAAAATCCCGATTTTGAAATTATAAAAAGCACTGAGAAAGTAACCGACCATATATCATCGGAAGTGTTGAAAAGACTTCAGTGTATGCAGAATGTCACCGTGTATAATTTACCTGATAGTGTAAACGTAAAGATTGCTAAAAATACTCTACTACAAGAATGTGGATTGTCGCAATCTTGGTGTGCAACAAGAAGATTACGTAAAGCTCATACTAAAGCCTTCTGCCTTATCCTATTTCAGTTTGGCAGTATCACTGAAGCTAATCACCTCCTTAGTCAGTCATTACTGAAGTGTATTCCAACATTTAAAAGGATAAGAATCATCCATGACAGGATTGTTATCCAGCGTCGAATCTTCAATGGAATACAAACTGATCAACCCAGTCTACGTGGCCGCGGCAGTTACAGCGTTTTCCACTGCACAAATCCTAAAACACCGTACACTACCCCTTCCCAAAACGGAGGCACGTCGCATGCTGCTATTGATCCTAAGAACAAGACTGCACATAAAGTAGATGGTACCACTCATCCTCAGCCCAAACACTCAGCTACCCCGAAATGCCAATCCACTTATGCCTCAATAGTGCCTCAGTATTGTCCCGATAAAAGGCCTCAAAATAATCCTCCCAGGAATAGCCTTAACTGCTACAGACGCTCAGACACAGCTGTACGAAATAATACTAAACTCTCTGAAAGACCCACCAGTACTCCAGCACCTTGACCTAAAACGCTCACCTTTTCATAGCAGTAGAATGCCCTACAACAAACATAGCGAACTGGCAGTACCCTCTCGTCCTAACGCGAAATTACACTCGCCAAGAATCACACCTACACGTGATACCCGTAAGTCATATAGTGTGAACCATGAAAGCTCCATGAACCAGCACACAACTAACCACAACACAAACACCTGTCTTGGCAACAATATCAGACAATCTTTCATTCCTTACCAAAAACATACAACCTCCCCAACTACCCATAATAGGACTAAAGTTGCCCACCGCACACAACGAAGCCATAACGTTGGCCTATTTGGGAACCCACTTACTAATTCTAGATACTATCTAAGTCAAGCCACCCTATACAACTATTTAATCCCCCCTAATTCGACATATACACCATCTCATCCTTTTTTATCTCTCTCCTTTTCAACAGTGCTGCTATGTGGTCCCCAAATGTTGAGAGCGACAACCCCACTATTCTGAGACCATCTATATACTTCAACCTAATGGGGAGTGGCACATCTTTCTCAACGTCGATAACTGTCTTTAGTCATGAAAGCTCATTGACGAAACCTCCCGATCACTCCCTAAATACAATACCTAACCATTCAACTCTACCGTTCATTCTTAAACATACTTCTTTCACTAATCTAACTTCCGACTACCTTTCTCGCATTGACCTTAATGGTAATAAACTCAACGTTCATCAATATAATAATAATAATAATAATAATAATTTTATTCTCAAATAACAGTTTTGTTACATGAGGCATCCCAGTTTACAGGCAAGATCAAATTGATACAAACGATACAATATCCACTGTAGTAAATTACATACCTGGGTTGATAATTTATAAGATATGAATGTAGATGGTTTTAATCAGTGCTACAGTTGGCGCGCTTCCCGAAAGTTGCGTTGCGAATGTGCAACTGATAGTCAAGGATAGGTCCATTGAAGATGGGAGCTTCTAAATGTCGCAACCGTATGTCCCTTTGGAATGTCTAAGGCTTTGAGGATGGTGCAGGATGAAATCTTTCGTTCCATATCACAAGGGGGCTGAAAGAGGGAGCAAGTAAAAGAAAGGACGAGAGGCAGGATAGCCAATATTCATGAAGAAATGTTTAAGGTATGATTACTCAGTCTAATTTTCGTTTGTTAAGGTATTTGTTAAGAAAGAGCATTTTAATAGGTTAAAGAAAATAAATGTTAACAAGGTGTGAGTGGACATACAACTGACAAATGGAGGCGATTCGGAAAGGAGCTGAGAGTATGAGGTTATGTGTGATTATAAAATAAAATATAGTGCTAGAAACAGTATTGTGATATACAATTGGCTGCCTTACTTTTTTTATCGAAGCTATTAGAGCCCCTTTTTTGTATTATTATTTTTTTCAGGTATTATAGGGTCTTGAGTAGGCTACGTATATTCGCGAATTGAGTGAACACTCCCAACTCTTCCTTTTCTCATGGCAAGACAGACAATTTACTGGGTTTATATCATACCCTTCTACTAGACAAACACTCACCGTACCTGACACTCATGTTAATCAACGCTCGATCTGTACAAAGTAAGATGACTCACCTACGCACCTCATTACTTTTAAACAACCTCTCACTTGTTTTGATAACGGAAAGTTGGCTGTCCTCCGATAACACGGACTCATACCT